AAAAAAAAAAAAAAAAAAAAAAAAAAGTGAGAAAAATGTAAGTAATATCTCTCTTTTTGCCATACTGTGTAATTCAAAATAAGTAGCAATTAAAATTCTTACCAAAAATTGGCCAGTAAGCTGACTCACACCTCTAATTCTAGCACTTTGAGAGGGCTGAAGTGGATTGGCGAAAAGATTGCTTGAGGCCAGGAGTTTCAGACCAGCCAAGGCAACATGGCAGGACCCTGTCCCTACAAAAACATTTAATTAGTTGGGCGGTGTGCCACTGTAGTCCTAGCTACTCAGGACGCTGCTGTGAGCTATGATCATGCTCCAGCCTGGGCAACAGAGCAAGATTCTGTCTCTTTAAAAAAAAATAAAAGGGCTGGGCACGGTGGCGCACACCTGCAATCCCAGCACTTTGGGAGGCCGAGACAGGTAGATCACCTGAGGTCAGGAGTTCGAGACCAGCCAGGCCAACATGAAATTACCAAAAATTGTCTCATAAGTTTGACAAAGTTTTTGTTAATTTGTGTCATAAAATTTTATCTCATAAGCTGGACAAAATGGACCATTTCAAAGAGAGTAGGAGGTATTAGAGGCCAGCTGATTAGCAGCAGGAAGTCATATGGGCTACTACCAAGTTTTTACCTGTAAGAATAGAGAAATGACAGTTCCTACATGCGGTTTGAAATAATGGTGGCAGAATACAGGGTTTGGAGTTCAAGATAGTGCCTAAATTTTGGGCTCAGGAAGAAATGGGGAAAGTAAAAAGGGAAACAGTGGTAAGCCAAGAGGATGCTGAATTACATTAAAATTGATGATAGAATAACCAATTTAAAATGTCTTGTAGATAAGATCTAGAAGGAACCTGTGGAAAGAAGTCTGAGCTACATACATAAAGTTATCGGAAACACAAATGTTAAGGTGGAGCCGTTTAAAGAAAGAATAGAAGGGACCTATGATTTTACTGACTGTTAAAAATGAAAATAAAGGAGTCAGAGAAAGTAAAGATTGTGAGTCAGCAGGACTTTCGTCTTATTTTCAAGTGGATTTATTGATTACTTTTCTTCTTACAGCCAAGTGCAAGATCTGTGAGTGGGCGTTTGAAAGTGAGCCACTATTTCTCCAGCATATGAAGGATACTCATAAGCCTGGAGAGATGCCTTATGTTTGCCAGGTATTGCCTTTTTCTCCAGGGAGTTTTAGCAGTTTTGCTCTCAGGCAGAACACAAAGTATCCACTAATGAATATTGCTGAATATCTACTACATACACTTAGTTTAGGAACCCTGAGTAGGTACTGAAGAAATAGTAAACAGTTTGCCTTCAGGGTTTCCATGCAGGAGGAGAACATAAAAGAACATGTCTACAAGTAGACTAGCCGGAGAACATGTGCATATTCTAAGTGAGTGACTGTCTCCTAAACGTGCTCTTTGGAAATCGACAGAAAAGCCTTTATTTTTCTTAGTTATAGAACATGGTTTGTTCTCAGACTTTCCTGTCCCTTCCTATTTTTAAAGTAATAGCCAAATCTGTTACAAACATAGCCCAGCATTACAAAGTCAGAAAAATAATTTGATCTCTATGCAATTGGGAAAACTCTTTTTTTATTTAAAAATTTTTATTCCTGCTTTTTTTTTAAAGGCTTCTCAGTTGTTCACTCATTCTTAGCCTTATTTTCCCTCTTATGTGACCCAGGTGTGTCAATACCGCTCCTCACTCTACTCTGAGGTAGATGTCCATTTTCGGATGATCCATGAGGATACCCGGCATCTGCTCTGCCCTTATTGCCTGAAGGTCTTCAAAAATGGCAATGCATTCCAACAGCATTACATGAGGCACCAGGTACTAGGCACCAAGCAATTCCCATATTCTCTTTATTTTTTTTTTTAAACATGGATGCTGGGGCCAGGGCTGAGCTAGGCAAATAATTTGGGCAGAGATTATAATATGCATATGTTTGCAAAAATTTATTGAACTGACTTATGTGCCATGTAGTGGTCTAGATGGCAGAGATTTAGTGGTAAACAAGGCAAACAATACAATAAAGCATAAAGAGTACTAGGTTGGGGGAAGTATGGGATATAGAAAATCACGTAGCTATTCTGGGTGCCTAGTAAGGCTTGAAGAAGAATGTGCCAGATGAAATAAGACGGAGAACAGTGTGCCCAAGGCACAAAGCAAGATTATGGAGGTTCAAGAAATTGAGAGAGGTACAGGGTACGGTATAAGAGACAGAGGGGTTGGAAGTTAGGCAGGGACAGGTCATAAAGGATCTTTTAGCCGTGAAAAGAAGTCACTGGGACGCCATTAAAGGGGTTTTAGGCCCTGGAGTGATGTGTTTAGGTTTACTTTTAGTTAAGATTTTGTACTGCCTGCACTGTGGAGAATGGATTAAAGGAGAAGAAGACTACAGTCAGGGAAACTAACTAGAAGACTTTTTTCAGCAGTTTAGGTGAGAGATGATAGTGGCTATTGGCTTTTGAAATGAAGAAAAAGCGAGTAAAGTTTAGAGATATTCAGAATATTTGTGATATTTATGATGTAGAGATGGATTAGGTGAAGGCAGCAATGGAATAATTAAGAACAGTGCCTAAGATTCAGTCTTGGGCAATTGGGTGAATGAGGAAACTGTTTGCTGAGATAGAAACAATAGAGAAGGTATATTTGTGAGTCGGGGGATCATGAGTTTGGGTATTGTGAGTTAGCAGTAGGATGTGAAGTGTAGCTGTTAGATAATAGATCTGAAGTCCAGGAGAGATCTCTGGGTTGTAGAAAACATATTAGGAATCAGCATTATATAAATCCTGTAGATTTTTAACTTAAATGCCATGGGCCCCCCAACCCTGTTGAGAATAAGAGAAGGCTTAGGATATTTGAAGTCTCTTGTCTATAAAGCAAGCACCATAATTCTAGGAGGAAAACCAAAAGACACTTGACATTAAGGAAACTGGGGAAAAGAAAGTGTTTTAAAGAAAAGGGTGTGATCAAAATGTCATATGTTACAGGAAGGTGTCAAGCAAGATAGAGACTTAGAAACAGGCCTTTAATTTAGCAACATTGATGAGAGCCATTTTATTGGTTGGTAGGGTGAAAGTCAGATTTCAGCAGAACAAATCAATGAGAGGTAAAGAAATGAAGATGATACATTTAAAGAAGTTTACTTATAAAAAGGGAGTGTAAGGCTGGGCGTTATGGCTTACGCCCATAATCCCAGCACTTTGGGAGGCCGAGGCGGGCGGGTCGCCTGAGGACAGGAGTTTGAGACCAGCCTGACTAACATGGTGAAACCCTGTCTCTACAAAAAAAATACAAAATTAGCTGGGCGTGGTACGCATGCCTGTAATCCCAGCTACCCAGGAGGCTGAGGCAGGAGAAGCACTTGAACCCAGGAGGCGGAGGTTGCGGTGAGCCGAGATCCTGCCACTGCACTCCAGCCTGGACAACAAGAGTAAAACTCCACCTCAAAAAAAAGGGGTTGGGGAGTATAATCCCAGCACTTCGGGGGGCTGAGACAGGTCGATCACGGGGTCAAGAGTTTAAGACCAGTCTGCCCAACATGGTGAAACCCCGTCTCTACTAAAAATAACAAAAATTAGCCGGGTGTGGTGGCGGGCACCTGTTATCCCAGCTACTCAGGAGGTTGAGGCAGGAGAATTGTTTGAAACCAGAAGGTGGAGGCTGCAGTGAGCCGAGATTGCACCACAGCACTCCAGCCTGGGCAAAAGAGTGAAACTCTCAACAGCAACAGAAAAGGAGGACCCAGGGTGGAAAATCCAGAGGATGAAATGGTAGATAATTTTTTGAGGCCGGGCGCGGTGGCTCACGCCTGTAATCCCAGCACTTTGGGAGGCCGAGGTGGGCAAATCATGAGGTCAGGAGTTGCCCAGCCTGGCCAACATGGTAAAACTCTGTCTCTACTAAAAATTTAAAAAATAAGCTGGGCGTAGTGGCGGGCACCTGTAATCCCAGCTACTCAGAAGGCTGAGGCAGGAGAATCACTTGAACCCTGAGGCGGAGGTTGCCGTGAGCTGAGATTGCGCTGTGCTGCTGCACTTCAGCCTGGGTGACAGAGTGAGACTCTGTCTCAAAAAAATTTTTTTTTGTTGCTTGTGTTTTTTTAATGAGATGAAAAGGTATGACTTTGTTTTAAAATACTGCAAGAAGAGAGCCACTAGAGGAGAGAGAGAGAGGTATATAAGAGGATTCAAAATGGAGAATGAGATGGGTGCACGTGTGCTTAATAGTCACACACATACGCACGCACCCCATTATGCTCATAGTCTCATTTGCACTGTAGTGACTACTGATTGTCTACCACAAATGTGTTTCCAAATAGGGGCATGGAAATTGCCTCTCTGCCAAAGTTTGCAGAGCTTTGTTAACCCTACCAAAGAAAATCCTAGACATGGGACTTATTTTTGAAGGACTTCAGTACTAGGCAGACTGAATCCTCAAAATGGTCTCACCAGGAGGCATATCTGTATATACTGATGTATAAGTGGGAAAACAGCAAAGTGTAGACAAGTGCTGTCATTTGTGTTAAAAGGAGAAAAAGAAGAGGGCCTGAGGTAGGAGGATCAGTTGAGCCCAAGAGGTACGGAGTCCAGCCTGGGCAACATGGTGAGACAACATCTCTACAAAAGGAAAGGGAAAACAGTGGGGGCCAGGCACAGTGGCTCACGCCTGCAATCCCAGCACTTTGGGAGGCCAAGACAGGTAGATCACTTGAGGCCAGGAGTTGAAGATCAGCCTGGGCAACATGGAGACGCCTCATCTCTACAAAAAATACAGAAAGTAGCTGGGTGTGCTTGCATGTGCTATAGTCCCAGCTACTTGGGAGGCTTGAGGTTGAGGCTGCAGCGAGCTGTGAGCATGCCACTGCACTCCAGCCTGAGCAACAGAGAGAGACCCTGTTTTCAAAAAAAAAAGGGGGTGGATGGCGAGGCAGGTAAGGATTGGATATGAATGTATTTCTGATATAGTTATATATATAGACTGCCCATGAAAACATGCTCAGGAAACTGGTAATAAGTTGTTTCTGTGGAAAGGGACTGAGTGTCGGAGTTGAAGGCAAACTTGGAAGAGTACAGGAAAAAAAAGTTTGACTTTTATTTACTGTGTGCATTTATCTTTCTTTAAAAAAAGACTGTCCAGGAGAATGTTTGTCAGCAGTGTAAAGATATTATACAAATAGAGGTTACATCACTCATTTAAATTGCTAAAATAAGTCCGAAAAGGATGATTTGAGAACTTAGTCATCCTGGCCTAGAATCCATCTTTCTTTGGGATCATGGGAGGTAATGATTCTCAATGGTAGGTTTTGTGGTCATGTTGTATATTCCTTTCTTACTCTCTTAAATTATTAACAGAAAGGGGGGAAGAATGATATGGTTGGCATTGATCTGCTTACTTCTCAAAGATTTATTAGGAACCTTTAAGGGATTTTGTCTCTTTTTACCTCCCCTCCCCCACTTCAGAAGAGAAATGTTTATCACTGCAACAAATGCCGGCTGCAGTTTCTCTTTGCCAAGGACAAAATTGAACACAAGCTTCAACACCATAAAACCTTCCGTAAACCCAAGCAGCTGGAGGGCTTGAAACCAGGCACCAAGGTAAAGAGTGTGCTGGTGTCTTTCATAGGCTCGGAGGGAGGAATAGAGATTTTCAGTATTCTGAAATTTAGTGTGGGTGATGTCTCATTGTTCCTTCCCTTGACTCTCAGGTGACAATCCGGGCTTCCCGAGGGCAGCCACGAACTGTTCCTGTATCCTCTAATGATACACCTCCCAGCGCCTTGCAGGAGGCAGCACCACTGGCCTCCTCAACGGACCCTCTGCCTGTCTTCCTTTATCCCCCTGTCCAGCGCAGCATCCAGAAGAGAGCTGTTAGGAAAATGTCAGCGCCTTCTTCTAAGTGCTGGGCGGGTGGGGGCTGGGTGGGCAGGATTATTCCTGATACACAATGCGATCTGGTAGCTTTTTAGCAGAATTTCTTGTCTGAAAATCCTACATTTTGGGGACCCCTGAGGCAGTAATGAGAATTCTCCTTTTCTTCCCTACAGGAGTGTCATGGGCCGGCAGACATGCCTGGAGTGCAGCTTCGAGATTCCAGACTTCCCTAATCATTTCCCTACTTATGTGCACTGCTCTCTGTGTCGCTATAGCACCTGCTGCTCTCGAGCTTATGCCAACCACATGATCAAGTAAGTTGTTTTAACCAGTGTTTCAGCTTGAGAGTTCAGATTCTTTTTTTTTTTTTGGAGACAGGGTCTTCCTCTCTCCCCAGGCTGGAGTGCAGGGGCGCAATCTTGGCTCACTGCAACCTCTGCCTCCTGGGTTCAAGTGATTCTCCTGTCTCAGCCTCCCTAGTAGCTGGGATTACAGGTGTGCACCACCACACCTGGCTAATTTTTTTTGCATTTTTAGTAGAGACGGGGTTTCACCATGTTGGCCAGGTTGGTCTCAAACCCCTGAGCTCAGGTGATCCACCCGCCTTGGCCTCCCAAAGTGCTGGAGGAGCCACCGTGCCTGGCCCTGGCCAGATTCTGGAGCACTCATTTCATTTTCTTCCCTGTTCCTAATGTTTCTTCCTTCGACTCTTAGAGCTATGTGTTCTTCTCTCCTAGCAGAATGAGAGGCTTTATTTTTTGGTTTTGATGGCCTGTGTTCTAATTTCATAGGACCTTGCTACTCAAGGACCAGCAGTATTAGGTGGGAGCTTGTTAGAAATGCCGACTCTCAGCCCCACCCTAAGCCTACTGAATCAGGATGTGAATTTTAATAGATCCTCAGGTGACTCGTATGCACACTGAAGCTTAAGAAGCACAGTGACAGGAAAACTGGCCTAGGTTGAGATTAGGATGCACTGAAGAAGGATCTCTTTTGTTGGGAGCATTGTCACTGGCTGGTGATCCCTAGCTGAGCCAGCAGAACTCTGTGACTCATACCACTTCTTTGTCTTTCTCAGCAATCATGTTCCACGGAAAAGCCCCAAGTATTTGGCTTTGTTTAAAAATTCTGTGAGGTAAGAAAAAACTTATTGGAAGTATCTTAAATTTTCAGGTTTTTTTGTTGTTTTCTTTTTTTTTTTTAATTTTTCAGGTTTTTACATTAAATTCTTTTCATTATTTGGGGAGGTGGGTATGTGAATTAATTTTAGAAAAAAGAGAAATTTGGGAGGGCATTCGTTTTCTTAAGCCTCAAAGCTTAATGGTCTCAAGTGTCACTGCTGTATTTGTCTTACATATTCTTGATTTTCTCTTTCAGTGGAATCAAGCTGGCCTGCACTTCGTGTACCTTTGTTACCTCTGTGGGCGATGCTATGGCCAAGCATTTGGTATTCAACCCCTCTCACAGATCCAGCAGCATCCTGCCACGGGGTATGTAGGAGGGGTGGGATTAGCTGAGCAAGAGGAGGAAAAAAGATACAGGGCGTACTGTATGCGTCAGGAGCATGCCTACCTGGCCTCACCCATTCACTCTTGCGATGTACTGTACCAAATTAGAAACCTTCCAACGTGAAGTTTATATACGACTGGGAAGGTTGGTCACTGTGAACGGCATATTTGTATGTAGCAGGTTGAAATCCCAGGGCACTGTCTTTGGAGAGCTTATTTCTTCACTGAGCTAACTTTTTTTATTGTTTCATTTTCCATAGGACTCACTTGGATAGCTCACTCAAGGTAACAAAAACTCTCGCCTCACAATTTCTGGTTTGCAGTGTGTGTTATTATTATACTATTATTTCAGGTCACTAGTTGAACTGAGATTTATCCTCTTCTCTCTGCTTCTCGCCCATTTAGGCATGGCCAGGCTCGTGACCGAGTGCACGACCGGAACGTGAAGAATATGCACCCGCCTCCTTCCTTCCCCACTAACAAAGCTGCCGCTGTGAAGTCTGCGGGGGCCGCCCCAGCCGAGCCTGAAGAGCCACCAACTCCCTTGGCCCCAGCACTCCCATCGCCAGCCTCAACTGCGACCCCACCACCAACCCCGACCCACCCCCAGCCTTCAGCCCTTCCACCCTTGGCTACAGAGGGAGCCGAATGTCTGAATGTTGATGATCAGGACGAAGGGAGCCCAGTCACCCAGGAGCCTGAGCCAGCATCAGGCGGTGGTGGTAGTGGTGGAGTTGGCAAAAAGGAGCAGCTGTCGGTGAAGAAGCTTCGAGTAGTACTGTTTGCTCTATGCTGCAATACAGAACAGGCAGCTGAACACTTCCGAAATCCCCAGCGACGTATTCGGCGTTGGCTTCGACGTTTCCAGGCCTCCCAGGGGGAGAATCTTGAGGGCAAATATCTGAGCTTTGAGGCAGAAGAGAAACTGGCTGAGTGGGTGCTAACTCAGCGAGAACAACAGCTACCTGTAAATGAGGAGACCTTGTTCCAGAAGGCCACCAAGATAGGACGTTCTTTGGAAGGGGGCTTTAAGATCTCCTATGAGTGGGCTGTGCGTTTCATGCTGCGGCACCACCTGACTCCCCATGCCCGGCGAGCTGTGGCCCACACCCTACCTAAGGATGTGGCAGAGAATGCAGGACTCTTCATTGAATTTGTGCAACGGCAGATTCACAACCAGGACTTACCCTTGTCTATGATTGTGGCTATCGATGAGATCTCCTTGTTCCTGGATACAGAGGTGCTGAGCAGTGATGACCGAAAGGAGAATGCCCTGCAGACAGTGGGCACAGGGGAACCTTGGTGTGATGTAGTCCTGGCCATTCTGGCAGACGGCACTGTCCTTCCCACCCTGGTTTTCTACAGAGGGCAGATGGATCAGCCTGCTAATGTGCCAGACTCCATTTTGCTAGAGGCAAAGGAGAGTGGTTACAGTGATGATGAGATCATGGAGCTGTGGTCAACTCGAGTGTGGCAGAAGCACACAGCTTGCCAGCACAGCAAAGGCATGCTTGTGATGGACTGTCATCGCGCTCACTTGTCAGAAGAGGTGCTGTCTATGCTTAGTGCCTCTAGCACTTTGCCTGCAGTGGTCCCAGCAGGCTGTAGCTCCAAAATCCAGCCATTAGATGTGTGCATCAAAAGAACTGTCAAGAACTTCCTGCATAAAAAGTGGAAGGAGCAGGCTCGGGAAATGGCAGATACTGCATGTGATTCTGATGTCCTGCTTCAGCTGGTGCTTGTCTGGCTGGGTGAAGTGCTAGGTGTCATTGGGGACTGTCCAGAGCTAGTTCAACGCTCCTTCCTGGTGGCTAGTGTTCTTCCTGGCCCTGATGGCAACATTAACTCACCTACAAGAAATGCTGACATGCAGGAGGAGTTAATTGCCTCCCTAGAGGAGCAGCTGAAGCTGAGTGGGGAACATTCTGAGTCTTCCACTCCACGACCCAGATCATCTCCTGAAGAGACAATTGAGCCTGAAAGCCTTCACCAGCTCTTTGAGGGTGAAAGTGAGACCGAGTCTTTCTATGGCTTTGAAGAAGCTGACCTAGATCTGATGGAGATTTGAGTGTTGGGTCATGACGGGGTATGGAGTAGGGGTGGGAACGTGTGAGGGAGGGTAAAGGGGTTTCGGGAAAAGGGGGCATACAGGTGGGGTATTTGGTTTATATTTTATAATTGTACACCACCACTCGCCCCTGATGTTGACTTACACTTCCCTGTGGATTTGTTAATTAGGAAAACCAATAGTGATCACGTCTGAGCCAAGGAGCTGGCCCATTGGTCATTTACTTCTGCTAAAAACAGGTTTTTGTGACTTTTTTTTTAAATTTAAATCACTGTGTTTGGTATTTTTCTGACAAAATTAAGAAAAAGAAAAAAAATTACTTGTGGGCGAATGTTCAGTTTTTTTGTTTCCCCTTTTACCTCAATTGTATCATAGTACTTCTGGGTTTTTTTGTTTGTTTTACTGTGTGGCCAATGTCTTTGGGCATGATGCTATCTAATCATTGTCAATGTGAGAACATTTCTGAAGATGGGAAAGACAAATTATGTAGCTCACAAACTGGTTTATTATATATATGGATAAAAAACTTTTTTCATTGTGGTCTTAACACTTTTATATAAAAATGAAAATGGAAAAAAAAATCCCACTGAACTCTCTCTTCTCCTTTTCTTTCCTTCCCTCTCCAGAGATGTTGGTTTCTACAGCAACCCTAGGTAGAAAATTGTGGCTTTAAAAATGCATGAAACCACATTTAATTATCCAGAATGACTAGATTTGTCTTTTCCTCACCACCTTCCCTCCAAAACATGACATAAACAATATTTTTTGCACTTGTGATCCTTAGCCCCTTTCCCCACTCTCACACCATCCATCACTCTGGACAAAGGATCATACAGGTGGTGTTAACAAGCAAGAAGTACTGAGGGTGATCAAACAGTTTTAGGGTGGAAGCCATTCCCAGTTCGTGTTCATCCTGCAAGCCTCCAGGGGCAGTCCCTGCTTTATTGTACTTCATCCTGTCAAATGGAGAGCATGCCTATCTAAGGGATCACTGGTCCTACAGCCAGGAGCTAATTGCTCAAGAAGTTAAGTGTTGAACTTTAAAAAGACAAGACCACTTGTTGAAATCCAGTGTACTCTTTGGCTTTCCCCTATTTCTCTTAATGCTTAGAGAAGAATCTAACAGGAAGAAGCTGCACACAGGGGTGTGCACAAAGAAAATGACATGAATCTTTATTTTTCACTGCCAGCATCAAGGAAAGAAAATTTTTTTCTACAGTTTGCATGAGGGATTTTTTTTATTGTATGTACTCATGGTTATAAACCAAAATGTACTGTACCATACAGAGGAAAGGAGCAAAAAAAACAAGTCTTCTGTTTATCCTGAGGCTTTCAGCATTGTTCCCCTCCTGTGAGCCAAGGAGGCAACCTGCACAAGCTTGTAAATGGTTCGTCTTTAAAATGTACATAAGTGGAACATTTAATAAAATGAGGGGAAATGGATTTATAAACTTGTTTTTTTTCTAGGTGACCCTGTTTAATAGGCTTTCACAGACTGGGGGATGCTCAAGATGTGATGGGCCTGGTGGTGCAGGTGTGACATTTGTTACCACCCATTTCTCCCACCCCACCCTGCTTTTTTTGTTTTTCGCTCCCCTCCACCCCCCACCCCCCCCAGCACACTATAATATAGTGAACTGGAAAAGTCCCTTCCAGAAGCAGCTTGGCCGGCTTTGTGAATCCCTGACATCTGAAAACAACTAAGGATCCATCTGGGCTTCTCTTCCCCAGCTTTTTGCCTGATGCCATTTTATTGACAAGACTGTGGACTTTGAAATCAGCCTTTGCCTTTGAGAAAGTTCAAGAACTATGATTTGGTCACTTCTATCTACAACAACCTAATCCTACTCTTTGGTAGTCTCTGCAGCAGCCACAGCCTGAGCAGAGCTGGGGTTCCTGTCCTCTGCACATGATTGACTTTCTTGATGGGTAATTTTTTTTAAGATCATAACAGTGGATCAGCTGGGTTTTGGCCAGGAAGTTGTCTTTGTGGACTCTGCCTGCATGGCTTAGTAGTAGAAGGAAACTTTTTTTTTTGTTTTGTTTTTTATAATTCAGTTTAATCAATAAACATGTATTTATTGACTATTTTCTGTGTTGAGACTGAATGTGTGGAGGTGTCAGATTGAAAGCTCATGGTTTTCTTTTGCTTTATAAGTTTGTTATGGACAATGTAAATGGAGGGATGGTTTGGTTTTTCCTTCAGCTCTCACTGAATTTCTATAATACTTTGAATTTGCTGCCCCTGTTCTTTCTCTAGAAGTTTGGAGATGATACGTGTCAGACTCACCCTACAGTGTTCATTTTAAAAATTCAGGCTGAAATAAACTAAAAAAGAAAAAAAAAATTCAGGCTGAGCATGATGGCTCATGCCAGTAATCCCAGCACTTGGGAGGTTGAGGCGGGAAGTTGCTTGAGTCCAGGAATTCAAGGCTGCAGTGAGCTATGGTCATGCCACTGCACTCCAGCCTGGGCAACAGAATGAGACCTTGTCTCTAAAATATTCAGGTTTAGGCCGGGCGAGGTGGCTCAGTCCTGTAATCCCAGCACTTTGGGAGGCCGAGACGGGTGGATCACGAGGTCAAGAGATCGAGACCATCCTGGTCAACATGGTGAAACCCCGTCTCTACTAAAAATACAAAAAATTAGCTGGGCATGGTGGCGTGTGCCTGTAATCCCAGCTACTCAGGAGGCTGAGGCAGGAGAATTGCCTGAACCCAGGAGGCGGAGGTTGCGGTGAGCCGAGATCGCACCATTGCACTCCAGCCTGGGCAACAAGATATGTTTCCAATTCTGTTAAAGAAAAAAGGGCGGCCGGACGCGGTGGCTTACGCCTGTAATCCCAGCACTTTGGGAGGCCGAGGCGGGTGGATCACGAGGTCAAGAGATCGAGACCATCCTGGTCAACATGGTGAAACCCCGTCTCTACTAAAAATACAAAAAATTAGCTGAGCATGGTGGCGCGTGCCTGTAATCCCAGCTACTCAGGAGGCCGAGGCAGGAGAATTGCCTGAACCCAGGAGGCGGAGGTTGCGGTGAGCCAAGATCGCGCCATTGCACTCCAGCCTGGGTAACATGAGTGAAACTCCGTCTCAAAAAAAAAAAAAAAAAAAAGAAATCTGTATTCTTTAATAGTACGTTGCAGTAGGGGAAGATTTGGGAGTAAAATTTGAACATAAAAGCCAGTTATGTTAGCACATAAAAATTAAGTCTGGCTTCCATAGGAAGCTGCTTCTAATGCAGCCCCAAATGAAGATGCTAGTGGGTCTTTCTGTATTGTGCAGAGAATTCTGTATTTGCTACAAGAGCCTAAGGGTTCTCCGACCAGAGAGGGAGATGCCACACGGCAGTACTCAGCAGTTTTGCACTTGTGACCCAGTCAGACAAAAACCACTCAGCAAGCATTCTGAAGAATTTATTTACTTTACAAAAGAAGAGTCTGAACCAGCCAAGTTTAAAGTTAAAAGGGTACAACTTCCGTTCTGGATAATGCAGCTGTATTTCATTCAAAGCCACTAAAAACGGAAGAGAGGATAATAAAATTGTGAAGCATAAAGGGATCAATTCCCAAAAATAGCTGTACTGTCCAACCAAAACCCTCTCCACCCAGAGAATTTTCCTGGGTGAGCCTCCCAGAAAAGTCCAGTTTAGTACAAGCCAAAGACCTCCCAAATCTGCCACCACTTTTTTTACTATGACTCACCTGATCATGTGGGCAATATCCCAGTTGGTCTCTGCAGACAGTGGTCCCTCTATTTCAACACCTTTTTCGGTTACAGTGGCGATTTGAAACTGGAAGAAAGCAGAGCATTCAGTAATGCCCACCCCTTAAGTCCTTAAAAGTCAGGTGGAGGTCTTCCCTAGTCTGAAAATAGGAGTCGCACAAGTGAGGCAATCTGTTCTTCAAAGCATAGAGACCCAGGGATTGCAAGTATCCAGGAGTCTGCCAATTAGGTTCCCAGCACATTCCTCACCCGGTTGTAAGAACGGGCATCTCGGTAGTACAGCACTCGCATGCAGCGTTCTACTAGCTCTCGGGCCTCGGTCTGGCTCAGCACTGGCTGCTTCTCCAGAACTTCTCGCAGCAGAGGCTAGACAGATTGGGAGGGGAACCATGGGAGATACTGGGCTGAATAACAGGCTAGTTGTCTCAAATCAATGGTATAAAAAGCATTAAAGAGTGAAAAGATGACATTCTACCTCTTACAGAATGAACTCTGCTTACTAATAATAAGCTAAAAGCCACTTCAAGAGGAAGTTCTAGGGTGTCCTCTCTTTGCATGTCTACCGGGTCCCAGACATGCCATCTCGTCACTCAATCTAAGTGTCAACACCTACAGCCCCCAGACTACAAAGAAAACCATCTGCCCAGCAGTAGGGATCCCAGCCTGTCATTTCAGAACTTCAGGAGAAAAATAAGCAACCACTAATCCATTTTCCCTTTTGTCTCCCCTTGCCCCCGCCTCTCAACTCACTGCTTACCTGAGCCAAGTATGCACCATAACCAGTGGCCAGTGAAGGGGCTTCGTAGGCTACACCCAGCATGTCCACATAACCGAGGAAGCTAACAGGACACAATGGGTCAAAACTCATTTCACCTTAGGTTTATCTTAGCTGAAGAAGGGGACCATGGGGTCTAAGTTAAAGTGGGATTCACTTGGGGAAAAGAGACAGAAGAGATTCTACACAGGCACTAGTTTGGGTGGTAAAGGAAATACGTTATTTGTATTCGTATGAACCTCTCTCCATCAGCATAGCCTCCGATGACCATGGTGTTCCACAGAGGGTTCATCTTCGAGCGCCGGCTGTACATGGCCCGGGTCAGCCATGAATGAATAGCTCTAGGGCTATAGCTGTGTCCATCTCCCAGCAGCTCCTCATCAATCCTTAAAAGGAATTGGTTGTGAGAAAAGGGAGAGAATTAAATCGGGATCTCCACCCATCCCCAAAAGAAGTCACCACACCTTCCCCCATTTTACACCTCTTAATGCCAAAAACTTGATTGCAAACACTCTTGGATCAGCCACCCCCAACAATTCTCCCAGTGCCCCGTTGCAACATCAAGCCCCCCCATGCCGTCGAAGGGAATAAAAAACAAGAACTCTCCTCCGGAGCTACTTGGGAACCACTCTCCCGTTCTCTGGATGACTTACACCATCTGGCCGAGAACTTGCTTCAAATACTGGAAATCAGCGTAGTCCCCAGAGGCACCCAGCATGGTACTGTTGTTGACTCGCATAATGCGAGAGATGTTGCGGAAACGAGCCAAGGAGCCGTAAGATCCCAGCATGTCTGCGGCAATCACCACTCCGCCCTCGAACTTAAGGCCGAGGACTGAGGTCCCGGTCACCATGGGGTTTCTGGAGAACGAGAGTGGTGGGGACTAAGCGGGGAGATGGCCTGCGCCTTCTTTCCGCGCACTGGGCTCCGCTTCTGATTTTCTGTAATTACTTTCAATTATTCTGCATTCTCCAGGACTCCGCGCCCCGAGCTCCCCTATGTTCGCGCGCCTCCAGGGTCCGCGCCTCACCTTCCAGGGCTCTCAAAACCCGCCGGCAGCACCAGGCCCAACGGTCCCTCCCCCTTCGCAAGCGAAAGTGCCGAGAACTTACTGGGTCCGCGTGATCGGACCTCTGTGGAGTGCTGACGCCGGATCCATCAAGGAATCAGGAGTGGACGGAATGCGGTAAAACTGTCCTGGGGCCGGACCCCCAGCCCAAAGTCCGTACCGCGACCCCAAAAACTCTTCCATCTTAGTCACGGTAGCAGAAAAAAATGAAAGCGCTTGCGCCAACGGAAGCGGAAGTGATCCTTCAGTGTCACTTCTTTTTCCTGTGGGCGACTTCCAACAGCCATGTTGATGAGGTCGTAACTGAAAGCGCAGTAATCCTAGGTGGCGACCGAGACGGGGAGTTGGAATTGCCCCACGTCGTTTCGCAACGCATCTTCGTGGAGTTTGGACCAGATCACAGTGCTCTAACACACGGTTCAAGGAGGAGGGAGGCATGGGGGTGGGGTGGGGAGGTGGCCACTTAAAGACGCTGATTCTGAGCGAGACGTCACAATTTTTTTTTTTTTTGAGACAGAGTCTCTCACTCTGTCGCCCAGGCTGGAGTGCAGTGGCGCGATCTCGGTTCACCGCAACCTCCGAGGTCTCCCGGGTTCAAGCGATTCTCGTGCCTCAGCCTCCCGAGTGGCTGGGATTACAGGCGCCCGCCACCACGCCAGGCTAACTTTTTGTATTTTTAGTAGAGACGGGGATGTCACCATGGTGGCCAAGCTGGTCTCGAACTCCCGATCTCAGGTCATCAGCCCACCTCGGCCTCCCAAAGTTCTGGGATTACAGGCATGAGCCACCACGCCCGGCCGAGAAGTCACAATCCTCATGTTTCTTTCGGATCATTATCAAAAAGCCCACATGAATATATCAGTGAACACAGGCTTTCTTGCATCTATCCTCCTCAGAGCAGCCCCGTGTGGCAGGCATTCGACCCATTTCGTAAGGAGGAAACGGAGACTTGTGGAGTCGTGATTTACCCACTCACACAGCCAGAACCCGTGATGAGTCTTCAAGCCCAGAACAAAAAAAGGAATCAGGGCCGGGCATAGTGGCTCATGCCTGTAATCCCAGAACTTTGAGAGGCCAAGACGGGAGGATCACTTGAGCCCAGGAATTCGAGGTCTTCCTGGGCAACAGGATGAGGCCTCATCTCTACAAAATAAAACCAAAAATTAACCGGGCATGGTCCGCACGCCTGTAACTCCAGCTACTTGGGAGGGTGACGTGGGAGAATCGCTTGAACCTGGTAGGGAGGTGCAGTGAGCTGAGGTCAGGCCACTCCACTCCAGCCTGGGCAACAGAGCAAGACGCTGTCTCAAAAACAAAACAAACAAAAAAAAACACTTGTGTATACTCTGGGGGGTATGATAGCTCGGGTGGATCAAGCACTCTCTGTGGGACCTTAGACAAGTCTGAAAGTTTCCTTATTGTCAACGGCCCTTGCCCACCTCTTAAGCAGCAGAAAAAATCCACTGAAAGTGTAGGAGTGAAACTAAATTCCAGGGCTTCCCTTCTCAATGTAACTCCATA